GTGCATGAAGAAGTTGCATGGTTTGGAACAGTTTCTTTTAACTGAAAATTGTTAACATGTCATGCACTCAAGTACTGGTCTACAACTGCTAGGAAACCTCCATCTATATTGTGATAATATCATGAGATTGAAAATGTAGGAAATTCAGCTTGTAACTGTAGATAGTTCATCAAAATAGAAAGATCTGGTTTATCCTGACTTGAGAACAGTGAACACATATTTCTCATCAGTTTAAATGCCTTAGAACACAATGGGAAGAGAAAGACAATGTTATATTCAACTGGGATTATGACCTGATGGAACAGATGTGTTGTTTGTTGCCCAGTGGGGTTCAACAAAGGGTTTTTTTTCTAAACGGCAGTTGACTGAAGCTGTACATAATCTATTACTCGGTATAGTTATTTGTAAATCCACACAACCATTTACCAGAGTGAAGTTGAGAGCATAGTCAAGACCAGACTGTGAATGCCTTAAATTTATCTTTTAGCACATTTTCCCCACTATGTTCTTCACTATCCAACTTGCCACCAATGCACATTACTAGCCCTAACCCTGTGTTTTTATCCTTCTTGTTTCCTCCATGCCAATTGCTCACAGCAGGTGATTGCCAAATTGAAACAGGGTATCATTCTTAACTTCTTTTTACAATGGAATTGTTTAACAGAGGATATTTACTAAATGGTTTTTGGTTCTTTAGCTTGTTACTTCATGTATATATCTGTTATAATGTGTCTTGACTATATGATTAAAGCCATTGTGAACTTACAAAACGGTCTCTTTGCAAGTATTTTGGAGAAGTTAATTGTAGTATCAATGTCGGGAACTTACTTTTTTTTGCATTATATATGGGTGTGTTGGGCTAAGGATTTTTCTACAGTAGGTATCTGGAACTTATTGGCGATAAATTTGATAATAAACAAACAGCATGCATTCCACTTGTTTTTCAAATAGCATATGCATCTGAAACAAGTTAAACATATGTACAAAATTCTTTACACTATGGAGATGACAGTTGTATCTTAAACACCGTATACAGTTCTTTTCTTGTCAAAAGTCCACTTAGGCCAATTCAATTGCTTTAGAATTCAGTTGATAAACTGAACTATTTTTCTCTATTGTTATCACAGTAGTATCAATGTATAATTCACTTACATTATCGGGTGAGTTACTGCATTTGTATCTTAACTTCCAATAATAGTCTGCCTTTTGTCAAAGTCCACACATGTGGGTTCAATTAGTTTAGAACACCCTTTGACAAAACAAATTATTCTCCTTATTTTTTTCAAAACTGTTAATCTCATTCTAACATATCAACCATTAGGCCATTCACTCCCACTACGGTTAACTTTACATTTTTTAACTTTTTTCTAAATACATTTTACTTCCACATGACTTTACTTTTGCTCTCTTTTTGCTCATCTGGTTGCAGCTATTTATACATCTATCACTTAGACCTTCTAGAAATCTCCATAGCCTTGACATCAATGAATTATAAACACAAAATAATTAAATTAATAATACTACCTATACTAAACAGTCTTTTATATCTGACAATCAGTAGTTTTCAATTTGGTACATTAAAAATAACTTTTGAAAGAAAGATGTATCAAATAAAATGTTTAAAAATTATTGTTGATTCACGCTGTAACTTGAACCATTTTATATGTATGAGAAATCACTACTGAAAATATTATTAATACCACTTTGTTATTTTCATTGTCTAATGAAGATATCAAACTACCCTATTCAGTTTAATTACAGTGAGCTGACTGTAAGTTAATATCTCAAAAACTTGATATAGTGATTGTTCTTTATAGTTGGAATACTTAACTTGCAATCTGTGGGTCAAGGTATTGAAACCTGTCACCAAACATGCTTGCCCTTTCAGCTGTGGGGGTGCTGTGATATAATGATCAATTCCACTATTCATTGGTAAAGAGTTAGGCAAACAAACAGTGCAGGGTAAGCCTGTTTATTGTAAAGAACTTTAACATTGAGGAGGTGGAGTTTAAGAGCCACTTTAAAGGCGTGAAACACAAAGAGTTCATTAAGAACAAAATAAGTTATAGAATCCTTTGACATGTAGTGCCATGCCTAATCATGTATCCAGTGCCAAGTCCATGAAAGTGACTACACCTACAGAAGAAGATAAAGCAGCAATTGGTATGTTTATTAGTAACTAGTATTAAAATTAGTGATAGGCTGAGGCCCAAATGGGAATAATTTACTATTATAGCCAAACAATCCAGAATTTCCTTTGTTATAATTGAGAAACCTAAGATATTAATTTTGTTCATATGACAAACATATAAAAGCAACATTTGCTTTGTGATAAATCTACCAAAAATTGTGAATGTTCAGAGAAACAGAAGTGTTACTTACATAATAAGTCTTTTTAATTCAAAATTAAACTAAATAATCATGATTTGTGCTTACCATTCTTGAGATTAAGTTCTTCAAAGCCGAGCTTAAGACTTATCACTTCCAAATCGTGCAAGAATAGATTTATCATATTGATTTCTCTGATTGTCTCCATTGTTGAATAACTCTTAAATTGTCACCCATCTCTCCTGTCATTTTATGCATCTCACAAAAATGAGACTTTTCAGACATTTTAAAATTATAAAAAAATGTATAATTATTATGTCCACTTCTTGTACCCTAATCATGTAAAGAATTTTGTCGCACACATCAGCTGGTTCACTTTTTTACATGTGTGGACTGGCTTATGACAGTGTCAGTATTCTCATATAAATTTAGCAAAGGGAGGCTTAAATTAAACTGTTTAGTACTTTTTTCTCAGGGTAGGTTTTGTACACTTATCAATACATGAAATTCCAGGACTACGCAATTGAGATTTATAAAAACAGTATAGGGAAAGAAAATAATTGAAGGATATGTCCTAGTATTTTTATTCTAATATAAATCACCATTCATAAGTTTTTCTTATTCCTGATACATAATGTAGTTAGCATGCCAGTACGTGCATACCACAGAGGAAAAAAAATTTTTTTTAATTTTAAAACTGAATTTGGTATATAATTTTAGGTGCAAGTTTATGATAATTAGTTAACTTTAAATTCTACAAAATATTTTATTGTAATTATAAAAATTATGTTTCTTCATAAAAGACAGCCTAATGTGATCATAACTTCTGTGTTATACATGTTTTGTTCATCATATTACTAAGGTAACAACACAAAAAAATAGTAATATCTTTTCTCGCCATCTAACGTTCCCATGTAACACACTGCTTGCCCCTAACTGCAACCAGCCATCAGTAACAACAGTCAGTTATAAATACCCTTTCACCTGAAAGAGTGAAGCATATATCTGAGGCATATCATGGCTCAAACCCTGGACCTTCCACTTAACTATTAAGCTATGCCAGGCCTTTTTAACCCCGTATGTAAAAATATGTAATTTTGATATTTTTTTTAAGTTTATCATTACAATAACAAAAATAAAAGTTACAGCATTCTTCCTCAGATGACAAAATTATTTTTTCACAAAGTGAACATGGCAATCACTTAAATCTTTTTTTTTCTAAATCTGAAATCGTAAGCAACGTAGACAATTTAGGGCTGCAAGTATTGTTGGCCTGGTCCCGTTTTGATTCTTGAAGTGAATGGCAGT